GGGAGAGGCCGGCGGCCCGCGGGTTTTTCCGACTCCAAGGATTTGTTGGGTCGAGACTTGGGGGCGTAGCCACGGCAAGTGGCTACCTGTGAACTGCTCGCTAATTACCCGAGATTCTGAGCTTTACATTTTTCCGGGAAGGAGATGTAAGTGACCAACAACAAGTCTGGGCTCTTTTTGGACCAATCCACGCAGGAGATCGCCCGCGCGGGACCGCAAAAGACGGCGGTCTTACCGACCATGGAAAGCGTAACGTCGCAAACACACGCCTAAATGGTTAAGGGTCATGTGTGCGGAAGGGTGGGTTGCACACGTTCAAAGCTTTGCAAAATCCTGGAATTGTGGCAGAAACAATCCACAGGGGCCCGCTTCCCGATTCCAAGTTACTTTTTGGAAGGGTGTCCAGAATGTTTGCATCGCTTCGTCGCGCAAGGACACCTTGGACATGGCGGCAAACGATGCCGAGCTGCTGATGAGTGAGAAGATGAAAAAGAAGGCACTCAAGGAAGATCAGACGGGAGCGTCAAACAGCTGTTCATCAAACCCGGCAAAGAGCCCAGCAACCGGAGCTCCAACTCCCAATGTTTTTCCTTTGCATGGAAATACGGGTGTGTCTATTTCTGACGGCCCTAGCAAGAAAGCAGCCAACCTTTTTCGGGTCGCGGTTCTCAGTATCTTTAAGGGCAACCCCATATAACATGTGGAGTTTGCTTCAGCATTCGGAAGGCGCAGTACGCGAGCAAGTTGGAGCAGGTCTTTCTCACCATCGACTCCACAGGGGAAGGCATCATTACGGAAAGACGGCTGGCTGAGGTCTTGGAGGATCCCACCATGAAGCTCGGACACAGACATGGGGCAGTGTCTTTCCTTCCGCTTTTCTATTTGGAGGGGGAGCACCAACTTTAAAACCTCTCTTGCTTGTTTGATGGTGTCCCCTCGACCTGTTTGTTCTCCCGTAGTGTTTCCCTTCTTTGTTCCTTTAAAGCCTACCAAAAGCAATCATAAACATAAACATGGACAGGGGGCCTTTTGAAGATGATGTTTTGCCACCCCACCCCCCCCTGCCCCCTTCCAGTACTGTGGCAGGCTTGTTGTTCCTGGCGGATGAATAGGTAGGGTGTCTCGTTTGAGACGGGGTCTAAATCATTTGCGGAGGAGTTGTGCCGTGCCATCGATTAATCTGCCAGGTTGACTCATCCAAGTTCAACGTTATAGAGATGTTACTGTGCCTTTGAGCTTAGCTAGCTAGGGGGTTGTTACATCGGAGCTCGGGGACAAACCATAGCTTACTTTCTTGATTGAGGAAGACCTATTTTCAGACCTTGGACTTGGACGTGCACGAGAGCAACGCCCTCTTCCACTTATTGGACGACGGGGACGGGACCGTCACGCTCGATGAGTTCATTGATGGGGTGATGCGGTGCAAAGGGCCCGCTAGGGCCATTGACCAGGTGGCCATGCATCTTTGCCGGACTTAGCTCACGTCATGGTTGTTTGGGGAAGCATTTTACTTTTTTGCTTGCGGTTTAATCAAAAGCTTTGCCAAAATGGGAGTGCTGTGGGCGGGAACCCCGGGGCCAAAATTATTTTGCCATTTTTCCCGTTCCTTAATGATCCTTAATGGGGATGTCTTGTCTTAAGTTGGGGTAGTTTTGCAATAAAACCACGGGGAAACATTTGCTTGGGGTTCCGGCAGAGAAAACAGCACACAACGCGCAAACTTGCTCACGGGCCCTCCCGTGATTTTGAGGATGGAGGGGTCTTGCTAAGGCGTTTCCCCTCTTGTAGGAGACCTGGGGTTGCGGCACTCACCACTCAGCAAAATGCTATCACTCCAGGAGTACCTTCCATTTCCATTCTGGACCCAGAGATCCGAATCCTAGCAAAACCTCGGCAATCCCAGGGAAAACGGCGGGTTTTTGAAAAGAATGGTTGAAAAGAATGGGGACTAACCCCTAGAACCCCGTTTTGCGGCTCGTGTTTTTTTTGTCTCAGCTAGGCATGCGGAAATCAAGCAGTTGGACAGGAAGCTGTCCAGGCTCCTTCACGGCCTCCTGGCTGAGTCTTTGGCTTTCCGTCGTGTGCAAGCAGCGCATTTAGAGGTAACCTGCAGTGCAGGATTGGAGGTGAAGTCGGAAGTTTGGGCATGTCTTGTTCCTTTTTCTGGTTATAACTGGATGCCATGCGGGGTTCTCACTCAACCCAAGAGGGTTCAGGGTGGACCCTTCTTCCACTTGCGTCCCTGTGGCACGGGTTCTCTATTCACCCTGGCTTCACGAGGATAGATGTTGGCTTGTCTGAACTGGTCATAGTCGTAGTAATAGAACCCTTTCGGACGTCTGAAGCCAAAGCGGAAACCATGCTGCCGGTGTCAAGGCACGCACATACAAAGCAATCGTGCTACAACAGCCCCGTTTGCTTTGGTTTGGTAAGGGGAAGCGCGTTCTGCAAAAACACATGTTTTCCCACATGTGGAAACCGCTTGATGGCTCAAGGGAACCACCCTCATTTTTGGATAGCTTCGAGAGTCTTAGCCCATCCCACCGTTTTTCGCCCAGCTTTGCTCGGACTCGAGAAACGCAGAGACCCATTTCCAGCTTTCCCCCCGCCTCCCCCCCCCTCCCCCGAGCAGCCAGGGCAGGGCGCGCCGGGCTCGGGCATCGCGTCCGCGGCCTCTGGGCCGCGGGGCCGCGGCTTCTCGGACCCCGAGATGGCCCCGAGCAATCAGAGCTCCTGGCGCCTTGGCCCTGGGTTTCGGCCATCCCGGCGCTTCGCGTGCGCGGGAGGGCGCCGGCGGGGTTTGCGGGGGCGGGGTTCGCGGGGCGGGGGGGGGGGGAATTGCAGAACTGCAACTTGCGATTGGAGCTGGGGGGGGGGGAATGGTCTTGTGCAAAGATTAAACCGGGATTGTATGGTGTTGGCGGGGTGTTCATGGCAGAGGTGTTTGTCAGGTCTTGATGGCCATGCCGACCCACGATCTTTCCATTGCTGGTGAACGAGGAGGCAACCTTTGTGTATCAAGGAATTCCTTTGATCCGGAATCCTGGTGCTACATAGCCCGTCTGAGTTGTAGGTTTTTAACCTTTCTAGGTTGGACCATTCTGGTGATAAACAAGAAGTTTGGACTTTTTCTAGCCAATCAACTCAGGAAGAGAGAGTTGCAATCTAGTGCTTGTATTTTGAACTGTGGTCGCACGGCTTTCTCCACTTTTCGCGGACCCTGAACACGCACCATCACAGCGTTCTTCTTTGGAACCGGTTTTGGTTCAAGCATCGCTTCCTTGCGACGCTTGCGTCAGGTCTGGACAATTGGCTCCCCGGTTTTGATCTCCCAAAACGGAGATCCCTAAGACTGGTGCTTGGAAGGGTGCCGTTCGGGAGCTGGGGTATCCAAATCGGTTCAGGAGAACGGGTGGGTGTGGTGGGTTCTTTTTTTTTGGGGGGGGCTAGGTCCCCCAGTAGTGCCCTTTTACACTTTTTTGGGGGAGGGTTCCCCCATAAAACAGACTACAGAAAAACGGGTACCCTTGTTCTAACCTCCCTACGCAAGGACCTTGTTCCTTCCCCCTAATGCTAAACTCCCCCACCCCCCACCCCTAATACTAAGCGGGCCCCCCGGAAAAAACCGGTTTTAGCATTAGGGGCCCCCCTGTTCCCCAGGTCCGAATCGAAAGTCGCAACTTTGTAGTACAACCGTAGTACAGAAAACGTACTCCCAGAGCTCCGGCTCGAAAGTCGCAATTTTGTAGTACAGCCGTAGTAAAGAAAACGTACTCCCGGAGCTCCGGCTCGAAAGTCGCAACTTTTTGGTTCAGCCATAGTAAAGAAAACGTACTCCCGGAGCTCCGGCTTGAAAGTCGCAACTTTCTAGTGCAGCCGTAGTAAAGAAAACGTACTCCCGGAGCTCCGGCTCGAAAGTCGCAACCCTGTAGTACAACCATAACAACTTTGTAGTACACGCCAATACTAAGAACCACGGACCCAAATACTAAAACCTTCCAGCACAAGGCGAGGAAGCCCCCTTTGTCTTGTTTGGCACGGCCAGGCAGAGAGTCCCTAACACTAAGAACCGCAGACCTTAATACTAAAACCCTCCAGCCCAAGGCGAGGAATCCGCTTTGTTTCGTTTCAGGGAGGCAGGCCAGCACATCAACTAACAAATGTGGTTTGAAGGATTGAAGGTGCAAAAAGGGTTCCCAAATGGGCTGGACTTGGGCACGGGCGGGAAAATACCAGCTTTAGAATTGGTGTAGCGTTGGCTATCCTAAAAGTAGTATTCCCGGATTTTGTATTTTCAATAGGCTGTTTTAGTATTGGGGGACTGTTTTGCCTTAGGAAGAAGGGATTAGATAGGTTCCACCGTCGTCTATCCCAATAGGTGTCGGGATTTATCTTCCCTGGCTGGTGCAGGCCTTTGTCCATCAACAATGTTGGAACCAAGAGGAACAGCACCATTTTTGTGGGTTTGACACAAAGCCGTTGGCCTTTGATCGATCAACCAGGGGCTCGGGGCCCCTCCAAAAGTGGTTTGATTCCCTACATTTCACCCAGGGACGCCTGACCTATTAATCAACCAAAGGTTGCCTAGTGGGCTTGACAAAGGACGTAAACCTGAAATCGTGAGCGTTTTCAACCGCCGTGACATCATATGCGTTGACCACCATGAAATCATACGATCCTTTGCGCCTCTACCCACCATGACATACCCCCTCTCCCACTAACATAGCACCTGACAAGGGGTCCACTAATCTTCCAGGCAACCCCCCCACAGGTGCCATGACAACGTGGGACGAAGGGCTTTCAGGAAAGTGATGCTGGATAACCCCCATATGCGTTGACCGCCATGAAATCATATGCGCTACCTTGACGGCTATTGGGTTGGATCTTTTAGACTTTAACATCAACGGGTTTGCCACTAAACGCCAAAAAGTCAAACTTTTGCAGGGGGGTCAACAGCAAATGAGCTACCAACCACCATGACATAGCCGTTCAGGCCCCTCCTTGCGGGTTGTTGTGAGGTACCAGTCACCGCGGGTGTCGACTTCGCGCCAGAGTTGGGCCGTATTGAACTGGCGCAGTCCCTCCAAACGGGGTGCTTCTTGAGAGCAGCTTACTGGATCTCCACGTCTTTTCGAGTGGAAGCTTCTACTACTTGGTTTGCTTCTACCCGGTTTTTGATCGATATAACTTAGTTTGCTGGGGCTCCAAGATATATTTTTTCCGGGCCACACTCTGAAGATATGGATTTTCGGTGTACATTGGGCCCATTGCTAAGCTGGGTGTACTACTTGTAGACATCGCAGGAAACGGGGCTGGGCACACCGCAGGCACCTCAAGCCTTTTTCAGGCAGGCAATGGACTTGACGGCTATGGGGTAACGGGTCTTTAGATTTTAACTTTTGGTTGAACTCAACAGGGCTCCTTCCAAAGATACATTTTGCCAATTTGAAACATGGCTTTTTCCACCAAAATAAAGGGAGACCACCATTTACAAGGCAATGTTCAGGTGTATAATGTAAGGATCCCTGCTCAAATTGGGTTTTCCGAACCAACCCCACCAAGACTGTTTTCGTTTTTTTTTGCAGAGGGGTCAAGGGGTCTTCCACTACACCCACAAAAAGAGGTAGACTTTTTGCGGGGTCAACAGCCAACCAAGTGGAAGTCTTGAGAAGCAGCCCATTTGCGGTCGCGGGTTCGCTTCGGTCCTAGTTGCTGGCTCGCTTCCTAGTTTTCATCTCGCTTCGGTCCTAGTTTCCTTACTTCGGTCCTAGTTTCTTCGCCGTTGACTATGGTGTTTGAGAGGCAACATCCTTGTCGACCCCACCCCGCCCGGCATGTCTTGTTGTTAGGTGTTTGAGAGGCAACATCCTTGTCGACCCCACCCCGCCCGGCATGTCTTGTTTTTAGGTGTTTGAGAGGCAACATCCTTGTCGACCCCACCCCGCCCGGCATGTCTTGTTGTTAGGTGTTTGAGAGGCAACATCCTTGTCGACCCCACCCCGCCCGGCATGTCTTGTTGTTAGGTGTTTGAGAGGCAACATCCTTGTCGACCCACCCCGCCCGGCATGTCTTGCTGTTAGGTGTTTGAGAGGCAACATCCTTGTCGACCCCACCCCACCCGGCAGTTCTTGTTGTTAGGTGTTTGAGAGGCAACATCCTTGTCGACCCCACCCCACGCGGCATGTCTTGTTGTTAGGTGTTTGAGAGGCAACACCCTTTGCGTGTGTCCTGTTGTTAGTGCTCAAAAAGCTATCTTCCACTGCGCCTGAAGTGATCCAAAAATTGCGACAGAAGTGATCCGCAAATGCTCAAACTACGACCAAAGTGAGTGGATTTCAGCTGCGACCAAAGCGATCCAAAAACTGCGACCAAAGTGATCCCCCCGCCCCCATTTGCCACAGGCAAATGAGAGAGTTTCGTCTCACCAAAGTCCGAGAGAACGTGCGAGGACCGACATGTTGTGATCAATGGTCCTTGG